CTCTGACCTCTTAATCCCAAAACAGCTGAAAGTAGGCAATGAAGCTGATCTTTTTCCTAATAATGGGAGTTGGAATTTCAATAATAAGGTCTTTATATATAGATACTCTTTTCTTCTGCATTAGCATTTTTCACATAGAGATGTTTGAAAACTTGTGATACCAATTTCTGTAGACACTTGTTAAGCCGGTCACGATTACTGAATGGGCCGTTGTGAACTTCTCTGCTCGTTGTAACTCGAACAAGATTATTTCTGATTTGATCAGATGCGGAAAGATGAAAGGAATTGTAAGCTTTTCTTTCTTCAAGATCATTTTCTTACTATAAAGAACATCATAGAAAGAAAGAAAAACTATTAATTCTTTGGTTTATCTTTTCTTTTTGTCTTAGAACATAGATCCTCCATTTAATGTCTTTCAAGAGGATCCTCGGTTTAAGGATGAACTCGCTTCTGTGAGAGTGGAGAAGATGATTGAACATATAAAATCCAAACTCCCAGGGAAGCCTCAATTCCTTCTTTGCTTTCTCTCAGAAAGGAAGAACTCTAATGTTTATGGTAACACTTGACACTTTCTATATATTACATTTTGTTTGGTTTATAATATATGTTGGTCTTGAAACATGTTATCTTGGTCTTTAAATAAATAATCTCTTTAGGTCCTTGGAAAAAGAAGATTCTTGTTGAATCTGGAACTATACTTGTATTTTACATTAATAATATCATTGATTCTTTAAGTATCATTGAATCTTTAAGTATACTTGTTGAATCCCTCTAATTTTATATACAACACCATCTCTACAAGTATTAATGTAGATTTAGTTAGCAAAATTGTATTTAAGTATACTATTGACATTATAGGGAACTACTAGGCCAACACATTACCATGTGCTCTACGATGAGATCGGATTTTCGGCTGATGACCTCCAAGAGCTTGTCCATTCTTTAGCCTATGTGTTAGCATCATATCACTTTTTTAACTCTTGATCTAATACATTTGTTGGTATTATATTAGCTAATAATCTCTTAATTCCTTTGGTTTGATACTTATAGCTACCAGAGGAGAACAACCGCCATCTCTGTAGGTAATTTGTGTGATCACTATGAGCAGTATTTTAGATGATGGACAACAATTAAAGTGATTTGGTATGAGATTAGAGTTTATGATGACAAGTATTTTGATTTTGCAGTTGCGCCTATTTGTTATGCTCATTTGGCGGCTGCACAGATGGAAACTATGATGAAGTTTGATGACATGTCTGAGACGAATTCATCGAGCCATGGCGGGAGCACGAAGGATGGACCAGTCCTTGTGCCTACCATGCCGAAGCTGCACAAGGATGTTGCTACTTCAATGTTCTTCTGTTAAAGGAAACTTTTGGTCCACGGTAGCTATATATGAAACTGCTCCTAGACTTTTTTTTTTTTTTTTCGTCGACCATTTTCTCTTGGATACTCTTGATGTTGCGACTGTTTTCTACTACTTTTCTTATGGGTGTTGTTGGTTGATATCAGATTTATCTTAAACCAATTAGGTATTTTAAGACATGAGTTTGGTTACGTTAAGGTAAACTCGTTTCTACTACTTTGCAATTTCGATTCTTTTTGGTTCAAATAAAAACTTAGCACATTTTCATTGAAGGCCACATTCTCATGATCTCAATATCATTTATATGCTTTAAATGTTTTTCTGTCCTAGGAACATACTGTTTGATTAAACGCTTGCAAGTTAAAACACTGATTAAACAAAGTAATCATGCAATGAACTTTTTAAATGATGCATATAGTTTTAGAATCATTTTAGTTCTTGTCATTACGAAGACTCATGTAATCAGTTTCCTCTACTTCCTTTCGAATGAATGTTCCTCGTGTCATTGTGTGTGTACGTATATATTTGATACATACACACAATGACACAAACTTACAACGGAAACGAGTTTTTTATGTAGTAATTTTTTAGTATATCGCAAGTTTCTCTACATTTTTCAAACAAAGTGATCTACTAACCTCTTTAATTGTTCTTCAGACACTCTTACCTTTCATTGGTTTTAATGAGAAGATTCCTTTATTTTCTCATGCAAAATCTTTCAGAAATCACAAAATCAAAGAGACATAAGTGAGTAGGACATACCATAGAAAAAAAACAAGATCAAGACATTTACTTCTTCCCAAAAAACCACTTCTATTTTTTTCTTTCTTATAAAAATAATGAAAAAATAGCATTACTGTTATAAAAGTAAATTATTTATTTATGGTGAAGAAATTTTAAGAATAAAAGAAAAGATTTATATCCTTATAAAATAGGATACTGAGAGAAGAGATAATAAAAGAGATTGTATTGTATTTTGAAAGAAATTCTGATAATGTGTATTGATACAAATGCGTCGAACCATCTTTTTATATAGGCGGTAAAATAAGATTTGTTGTGTGTGCATAGTGACAATGGGGTCCACATGAAATTATTTTTACACGCCAAACATCTTCTGCACTTCTTCCTTACAGTACTCCATTTTGACTTTTGCAACA